ATGTAGGGTCAGTGAGAAGAGAAGGAATTGTGTGAGAGAGGTGGAGAAAGTGAATGGAGAGAATGATCCATTCTCTCTACTGACTGCCTTGTACCCATGGCATGCACCTGCTGCAGGCATGCACACCACACATGTATAATTTGTATGCACACAGCACACTCACATGTGCACATACCACATTTAGACATACACTGTCAGTCTGCTGGGGAGTCTGTAAAAATATTCCATAGACTGGGTGGCTTATAAACAACAGACAGTTATTTCTCACAGTTTTGGTGGCTGAAAGTTCAAGATCAAGTTGCTGGCAGATGCAGTGTCTATTCAGAGCATGCTGCTCAATAGATGGTGTCTTTTTTTAAATTTTATTTTTTAATTTTAATTTGTTACATATGACAGTGGAATGCATTACAATTCATATTACATACAGAGCACATTTTTCATCTCTCTGGTTGTATACAAAGTATATTTAAACTATTCGTGTCTTTATACATGTACTTAGGGAAATGATGTCCATATCATTCCACTATCTTTTTTAAGTAGATGGTGCCTTTTATGTATCTTCCTTCACATGGTGGAAGGAGGAAGGGATCCCTTTGAGGTGTCTTAATAAGGACATAATCTCACTCATGAGAGCCCATCTCCAATGACTAATCACCTCCATACCTCCTCTCCTACAGACATCACTTTGAGATTGGGGTTCAGTGTGAATTTTGAGGGGACACAAAATTTCAGAGCACATACATATTGTAGTGCTTCTCCTGAAAGTGCAGGGGCAGTGGAGTTCAGGTGGGTGGTGAGGTGTGATGTGAGTAGTCAAAGCTGGGGTGACTCAGGGCAATAAGGATAATAGGATGTTATAATTGACAAAGTGGTTGTGGTCTTTGTATCACACGCAGGGTGAGTATGAATGTTTAAAGTGTGGATAGAATTGATTACAAGACATGAAGGAACTGCTTTTTGGAGGGTAGGAGATGGGCAACAACACTGTGCTCTGGGATGGGAAGGTGTCAGGCCCAATTTTCTGCTACTGACATCTTCACTTTGACCATAACTTGGGAGAGCCAACCCCTGGTTCCTTCTATCAAATAATCAATGCCTAATGTGAACTTGAAGGCAGCACTTATGGCCCCATTGAGTTATAAATCCATTGCTAGTTTAGGGCTCCATCTTTCTTGACAAATATCTTTAGGTGAGGGTTTGGCTTCTTTTTGCTCATCATTTTTTGTACTTGGCACTAAATGGTACTTGGTGTTCTAAATCCAGAATTTTTTTGTGATCCTTAGGCTTTTAAAAACAAATGGAAAGAGAGAGGACTTTTTGTTCCCATTGGTAGTACTGGGATAGGCTGACTGGGTGGGATGGTTCCCAATCCAAGCACGAGTCCTGTTCCGACATGCTGGCATGACAGCAACTCCTGGCTACAGTGTTGCCTGTACCCACCTGTGCAGGTTCACCCCAATGCAGAAATGCCCTGGCCTGCTGGGAAGGACTTTCTGCCTGGAAGGGTCTGGCAGTCAGAGACAGGATCTGTGGCCATAGTGCTGGTTGCGGGGTCGGTTCTGCATTTTTCTGTTAAGACGTTAAAAATCTTGTTGTCCCAGCTCATCAGTAGTGGGAGCCTCATTGAGACCTGCTCCATAATCTGCAGCCTGGCTGCTGACTCACTGTCTTACTCCCACCTTTGGTGCTTAAGCATTGGTGCATTCTCGTACCCGCCTCCTAGGCCCACAGCTGCAGGGGTGGCCAGCGGACTCTCACTTGGTGGGGCCCAGAGCCACCTGCACTTGACAGGGCGCTTATTTTTACATACTGTTGGCTGGAAATAATCAGCTTTATTTAAAGAGAATGTGGATTCAGAGTGCTAAAAACAGCACCCAACAACTTGCTAGGGCTGTTTTAAAAGGAGTGATTCTCTTGTCTCCTTTGGAAGGAAGCTGCAGGACCATGCAAAGGGAACTGAGGATTCGGAGGGAGGATGGGTCAGGTGGGTCATGCATTACCAGAGCTCTCTCCAGGAGTATAGAGCTTTGGGAGCAGGGCATGGGATCAGTCTGGCAGATACTCACCAGGCTGAGACTGGCAACCCTTTGTCCTTAGAGGAGCAGAGCCCATGTCACTGCTGGTGGAGTGAGTGTCCACTGTGTTAGAACAGCTGTCCACAGCCCCTCCCTGTTACATTTTCTCCTTTCTAGAGGACCATCTTCCCCCATCCTCTGCCCTTTCTTTTGAAGGTACTAGGGATCAAACCCAGGGCCTTATATGTGACAGGGAAGTACTATATTGCTGAGCTTCATCCTCAGCCCCTTCTCTCCACTTTTGAGGCGTCTTTATGTTTATTCTCTCATCTCTGTCAAATGCTAAGGCCATGTTGGCTTTCATTTTGTGTGTGTGGATATTTTATTTATGTTTTCATAATTTTGATTAATTTCACAAGGTAACATAGATGTAGGCTATCGTGAAGGACATCTATTTCCTCCCAGTTCCCAGCTTTAGAGGGTGTTGCTGCTGCCTTTTATTATTTTGGAGAGACATTCATTGATGTTCATGTGTGTCCATATTAGATGGGAGCTTAATTCAGTTGGAGCTCACATGGGAGGGTCCTGTGGACACTGGTAGCTAGGCAAGTCTCTCTGGCTATCCCTGCTCCTCCTCATCCTGATTCAAGGGACTCTGGGATTGATTCAGGAGGGCACTGGGTATCAGGTCCATAGGGAACATCACTGCCTCCTGTTGACACTTTTCAGAAGATAATTATTTTTTTCTTGTTGKTTAAAATGTCTGCATATTATAGGGAATTTGAAATAATACCTAAAGGTACAAAGAAGAAGGTCAGATTCTTTGTTAATCTACTACCAGAGCTAACAACAGAGATTTAACCTGCTTCCTTTCAGTTTTTTTATATGTATATGCACATATATAATTTCTTCTTCTTAGAAGTTGAGGCTATACCATACATAAAAGTTACAGATCTCTTTTTCCATTTTTATAGTATGTTGAAAGCGTTCTTTAAATAGTCTAACTAGTCTTTGAAAACAGTTTATTGATTGCATATACATTATCTTTCGTTTGCTACCTTCACTCCACCCTGTTTTCTCAAATCATGGAGGCAAACATGCTCTGTGTTTCTTGGTTCCTGTGTGTCATCTCCATGCAGTACATTACTGTCCCTGTGGGTAGTTTCAGGCTGGCATCCATACTTATTGGTCCTGCTAATATTCAGTTCTGAATTTTGAACTGAATATTATCATCTCTGAAAACAATTCCATTAGCTACTGTGGTTGTTTGGGCTGCCACAACAAAGTGCCACAGAAAGGCAGCTTAAATGACATTGATTCTATCATGGTTCTGAGGCAGGAATCAGAGATTAGGGTGATTGGCCTCAAATTTCTGAGAAGGCTATAGGAGAGGATCTTCCAGCCTCTTCCAGCTTCTGACTGTGGCCAACAGTCCTTGTTGTTCCTTGGTTTGTAGCCTCATCACTTCAATCTCTGCCTCTCTTCACATAGCCTTCTTCTCTGGGTATGTTTCCCCTTTGAGAACACCAGTCATAGTGGGTTAAGGCCCGCTCTAATGCCCTCATTGTAACCAGATCACATCTATAAAGATCCTCTTTCCAAATAGATTACATTTTTAGCTCTTGAGGGTTAAGACTCTGACATATCATTTGGGAGGATACAATTCAACCTTTAACAGCCATCATTAACCAGCTCARAGAACTTGGGCTGGATTGAAGGCCCAGCCTCATGCATGTATAGAGATAGGCACACCCAAAGTGGGCAAATATATTATTATCTCAAAACTTTAGCCAGAAAAAGGATATCCTCTTTTACCATCCCTTCCTGACCCTTGTTTTATGTCTCCATCAACACAGATATAAACAAATGAAATTTTGTTTTCCCACATGATTGAAAGGAAATGTACCTGTTGTTTTTGGGTCTATGGGGCTCTCTACCAGATTTCATCTGCTGTTCTCTGAGCAGGCCCTGGAGAAGGTGACTGAGTATACTCACTTCAGGATGTTCAGTGTCTGGCTGCCTCTTCTGTTATAAGGCTTTTGTCTGTGACTTAGATCCTCAAATGAGTAAGTGGAATTGTGAATCTAACCTCATTTTAATTAAGTATGTATATGACTAACATTGTTAAATTTTATGACAGATATTTTCAACATCAGCTTCTTGGCTAGGCATGTTTGCATGTTGTTTGTAACAGATATTCAAAGGGATTTGGTTGACTGGGTTTTTTAGGCCATCTTAGTAAATATGTTGCTTATGTCTTATTAATGATGCAACAGCATAATGCAGTCCTTTGGCTTTGACTTACTAGAGAAAATAGAGACTCAGTGTCAGATAAAGATTGAAGTCTGATAGTTGCAGAATTAAATTGTTTTGCCTTTTTAAAAAGATAGGCCCTGCCAAGCAGTGTATAAGAAATCAAGCACCACTGGGGGCAGTGGTGCTTGCCTGTAATACCAGTGATTCAGGTGGATTGCAAATCCGAGGCCAGCCTCATCAACTTAGTGAGGCCCTAAGCAACTTAGTGAGGTTGTGTCTTAAAATAAAAAATAAAAATGACTGGGAATGTAACTCAGTGATGAAGTGTTCCTGGGTTCAATTCCTAGTCCAAAAAAGAAAAGGAAAGAAAAACCAAGCTTTCGTGAGCAAGGATTTTGTTAATGAGAGCATATCTGACTAGTTGGCAGGCCTAGTTCTGAGTACTGTGGCAGCTGGCAGGACCCGGCTGTGCTTTGATGGTGGTCATAGTTGCTTTCCTAAATGTGAGGATTCACATATGGGTTTCTTTTCTGTAGCTTTTCTCTTGTCAGGATCAGAAAGGAAATCCTCCCAAAATAGAGGGGGTTGCAGGTGCAAAAGCAAATGAGCTTGACATGAAACTTGGGTCTGTTACTTCTCAGGATGTTAGAGTGGAATATGCCAGGCTGCCTGCAGGGCCTGCTGCTCATGTCTACCTGGCTGCATCTCTTCTTTCTTATTCTTTCTTAGGATTCAAGAGCAGTTCCAGAAAAACCCTGACAGTTACAACGGTGCTGTACGTGAGAATTACACCTGGTCGCAGGACTACACTGACCTGGAGGTCAGGGTGCCGGTGCCCAAGCATGTGGTAAAGGGGAAGCAGGTAATAGCTGGGGCAAGGGAGTGGCTCAGCCAGTCTGAGGCGTCTCTGGAGGGACTCAGCATTGTTGCAGGAGGATTAGGATCAGCTTCAGAACATGAGGCACATTCCTACTCCTGCCTCAAGCCTCCTTCGACCAGTGAGGTTCTTTCAGCTGTCTGCAGGAATTTCCTCTTGGGGACAGCAGATCCAGTTCTCATTCTGAGCAGCATCAACCCCAAGAGGGAACTTCATATATTTGATTTCCTCAGCTGACTTAATAAAGTCATAGGCATTCTCAGGGTCCCATTGAAGATGGTCAGCTTCTTACTTTTTTTTTTTTTTAAGAGAGAGAGAGAGAGAGAGAGAGAGAGAGAGAGAGAGAATTTTAATATTTATTTTTTAGTTTTCGGCGGACACAACATCTTTGTTTGTATGTGATGCTGAGGATTGAACCCGGGCTGCATGCATGCCAGGCAAGCACGCTACCGCTTGAGCCACATCCCCAGCCCTCTTACTTTTTTTTCTAATATTTTTTTTTAAATTTTTTTTCTAATTTTTTTTAGTTGTCAATTGACCATTTATTTATTTATTTATGTATCTCTATCTATCTATCTATCTATCTATTTATATGCAGTGCTGGGTGTTGAACCCAAGGTCTCACACATGCCAGGCAAATACTCCACCACTGAGCCAGCCACAACACTAGCCCCTCACTTTTCAAAAGTATACCCAAACATTACTTTGGTGAATTCTACATTTCCTTTAAAGATCAAGTCTGCCTCAGTGTGCCCAGGAAAAGTCCAGTTGGCTGAACTCATAACGAGGACTCAGGTGGCTGCATAGTGGATGTCTTGTGGGTTTCCCAAATTCACCAGTCTAGGGCCTAGCAAACTCACATTAGAGAAATGACCAGTGGGTAACACCCCTCCATGTATGGTGAACTATGTGCCATGTAGATAAAATATTTGTAATGCGATCACTGGGCAGGAGGAGGAAGAAGGAGAGACCAAGTATGTGTATCCTAGACATTGCAGTCCTCCCGGGGCAGCAAGATGGCTGTACCAGGAAGGAGGGACAGGCCCAGTGGGCCTCAGCATCCCTATCTCCTTCTTCTGATATCTGTTTATTATTGCTTGTTTCACATAGGTGACATATGAGCACTGAGGGCAGGCTTCCCTGACCCCAAGTCTCCTTTCCAAAGTTGGTTTAGGTTCCCTAAAGAGCATCCTGTCCCTGCCAGGGCCAGTGCTCTGGTGTTGTTGGATGCAGCCCATCACTGATTGGGCTTCGTGGCCTGGCCTATCATCACCAGTGCTCTTGGGAAACTCTTCCCACTTATTCAGGTATAAGTGCCACACTATGATCTTTTTCTTTCCYCTTGACAAGCACTAACTGCTTCTGTTTTTTTAATGTGGACTCTCCCTACACCCTCCTTTAAACCATGTCAGGTCATGGTTAAACCCCTTTGAAGCCCTGCCTAATCTGGAAGCAAATTGAAGAATCTGAGGTCACAGTAACTGAGTTGCAGTCCCTGTGGGCTTTTTCATGGGACAGAAGGTGTGTCAGTTGTATCTGTAACATGCACATCTTGAGTTGATTTCTAAAACCTTTATCTAGTGAGCCAGAGTGAGTAGAATTTAATCTTTCAGAGGGAGAAAAATGTTTCATCAGGAAACTATGATAGGAATATTGTTATAGGTTGTTGTAAATAGGTAGGCATCACTTTAAAAAAACCCAGGTAATAATGCCAAATGTGACATTACATAATTCCAATCCACAGTATAACAGACTTGATTTGTGTGTCAGAACTGTGTCCTTACTTCAGTCTTCCTAAGAACCTGCAACCAGCAAAGTATTATTGTTTTATAGATGAGATATTGAAACTGAGAAAAGTTATTAACTTACAGACATGTGTTTCTGCCCTTGTTTAGCCTAGAATAGGGAGCATTCTGGATACAGGTTTGGGTGAATTAGTAGATGAATAAAAGTATAGTTTGTAGGGTGTGGGGTGCTATACTATAAAATTATGCTTTTATTCATCATGAATAGATGTATAAAGAGCAGAGCTGTGGTTTGGTTTAAGTGTGCCTGCTCTAAACTATACTTTTCTCTCTGGGCACACTCCTCACTTTATAAGTAATCAATATTGTCTGATGTTGTGGTGCAGACCTGTAATCCCAGCTGCTGAAGAGACAGAAGCAGAAAGATCACAAGTTTGAGGCCAGCTTCTGCACCTTAGCAAAACAGTGGGAACATAGCTCAGTGGTAGAGTGCCCCTAGGTTCAATACTCAGTACTGGAGGAAAAATAACTCTAACAAACAAAAAAGAATAAATAAATAATCAACCAGCATTGCTAGTTTATGGAAGAAGAGATTTTGTAGAGTGTGTAACAGGAAGTTGAGTTGCATTTATTTTTGTGGGGTACTCTCTGCTCTGACAGTGGGGTCAGACTGGCTGGCACCCCACATCCTACAAAGTGACAGATCACTAGGCTCAAAGTAGATGTAAAATCCAAGCTGGGTTTAAGCAAGAACCTCCAGCCCTCCTGCTGCATGCCTCTCCTGCAGGGCTCTCCTCAGCATTCCAGTCTCTGCTTGGAATAAGCAGACGTCTTGCACCTGAGCTGTTGGATAGGGCTATGGCAGGCCCACTGTGACTTCTAATAAGGAGAAATAGCCAGTTTTGGATGAATGTAGTTCATTCTGTGACAGGACAGATAGGGCATGCTTATTTGCCATGAACAGGGCAAAAATAGGAACCATGAACCTTTATGATATCACAACTGTGAATCAGTGAACTGTGGATGGTGTAGCTTTGGCAGAAGCAGTTCTCTGCATAACTCTTCCTTTCTCACTGCCCCCCACTCACCACCCATTATAGTATACCTTTTACCAGTACCTCATGACCCCTAGAATCAGAGTTCAGTATAACTTTAGGATGCAGGTCAGATCAGATCAGTAGGGATTATCTGCACAGAATTCCAGCTTCAAATGACTCCACCATGTCTGGTTTGAATAAGTCAGGAACAGGTGCTGGCTATCCTTCTGAAGAATTTTCTTGGGGTGTTAGTGGGTTGGGTGTTATTTCCATTTCATTGTCTGATAAGTTTGCCAAGTTCTGAAAAATGTTGATTACTATTCTTTATTCACTTTGGAATATATATATATATATATATATATATATATATATATATATATATATATAGTTATATAGTTTTCTGGGCTTTAATCTGACTTTTGGGGCTTTCTCTGAAAGGGTAGAAAATAGGTCTGTCCTTAAACTAGGTTTTTTTTTTTTTTTTTTTTTTTTTCCTGGACTCAATAGACCCAGGTTAGCTGACTAATCTTGCCATTCCTTCCTCAGAAACCGTGCTAGCCCACGAACTGGAGGTTGGAGCTGTGACTCCTACTCTGTGAGCACCAAGTTATAAGAGTCTTGCCCTGTATATATTGCAAAATGACAAACTGTCCTGCCTCAGATTTAGATTTATTTTCTCTGAAATGCTTTTGTTATGACTTCTAGATTAATTGGTCCTGTTTTTTTTTTTTAAAGTAAATGAGTTTATAATCTTTTTTTAAAAATTTTTAAACCACAATTTCAGGGTGGTTTGTTTGTTTATTTGTTTATTTATTTATGTTTTTGGTACTGGGAATTGAACCCAGAGGTGCTTAACCACTGAGCCATATTCCCAGCCCTTTTTTTATATTTTAATTAAAGATAGGCTCTTGCTAAATTGCTTATAACCTTACTAAGTTGCTGAGGCTGGCTTTGAAACTGTGATCCTCCTACCTCAGCCTTCCAAACCCATGGGATTACAGGCATGCACCAATGCTCCTGGCACAGCCCTGCGTTTAACAATTGTAACCCTAGATCTGGCTCATTCTGCAGTGGATGTTTTCTGAGCACATGAGCTATTTGGTGATTACCAAGACAGACCCCAGACTGCAGTCCAAAGTATATATCCCTTTTATTGCATGGGTAGTAAGAGTCAGCACATAATGAGCAAGGCAATTCCAGGTAGCAGCATGATACAGAACATAAAATGGGTAGTTTGTATGTGTATCCAGAACTAATGGAGTGCCCATCTCTGTGACTCTTCCTATCCTACTTTCTGGCCCACTGCACACTTACTGAAGATGGTGAGCAGTATGTGCAGGTCTCAGCTGTCAGAAGCCAGTGCTTCCTCCTATGGCTCCCTCCTATACATAGAAGTCTCTGAGCATTTCCTTATCACACTGGATGGAAAGGTGGAAGGAAGGGGCTTTTTGCATCAGCCACTGACTTATTTAGTATTAGGGTATTTGTGAAACTCACTGATGTAATTTGCACTTGTAACCTACTTGTGAAAACCTTCATGGCCTACATAGTAGAAATTTTTCTTTTATCAATAACATTTTTTCCATGTCATTTTTACAATACTGTAAACATCTCTTTAAAATTTTGGCTTCTCATTTAGTGATCTGAGAGTTTTAGTCATGTTTAATTTAAAACTTTGGAGTAAGTTCATTTCATTGGGTTTCACTAGTCTAAGGGCTTTTCCTTAGAGTTGCACTTTCTTTTTAGACTGGCTCCTTTCCAGTTGCTYCCTAACCGTACCTGTCACAGCTGCCTGTCAGCAGTGTTTATTTTTGGTTTTTGTCTTTAGCACCTATCAGATATAATCATGATGGTAGCCACGATTGTAGCACCTCGACAGATTGAGTCAGAATTGGTTCTGTTGGTGATGGAAAGGCCTTATGTGGGCAGCTCTGTTTGTGTTGGGTCTGGGCAGGGTGTGAGTCTCAGGGTGTTACTGGATGGAGCATTGCAGCAGAGTCCAGGTCCTCTATCCTCCAGCTGTAGTTTGATGCCTTGCAGACATCAGCAGAGCTTTTCCTTTCTAAAGTTTTTTCACATTGATCTCTTTTCTGCAGAAATTGGTATGGTGGCAAGGACACATTTGCTTCTCAAGGGTCATGGGAAACAAATGAGATTATGTGCACAAGGCATTAGTATTGGGGTATTTGTGAAACTCACCAAT